TAGCCCGGGCCTGGTATACGCAGTTAGGGTAGCTGTAGGAATTCGGGTTAGTGCTGGGCCTATATTTTCCCAGAATTGCAGATATGTCCCTCACGAATTTCCCTACAGGCAGGTCTCTCGGTTAGCCCTCAGCCAAACAAAGTTACGAATCTAACCCTACCGGTTAGTGTACAGCCTCGCAGTCAATCTCGGCAGTAGAAATCAGCAAGTCATTGCACCTCAACTTATAGCCCAGTTGTGTCCTCGTCACAGGCATCATCCATTCAGCTCATGCACAAGATAATCAGGGATACGTCTCACATAGGAATCGGGTGGTTTGGCATGGAAACATAATCTTGACACACAAACAGGAAAGTAGTGAAATCTGAGAATTTTGTGTTCCTTTTTATCGTTCTTTTTCATATTAAAATATCACCTCTGATTCGACGCCGCAAAAATGCTCATGCGGAACTGCATCAAAAATGCTTCAAAAAGGCAGCTCCAGAAATAAAATTAATTAATATTATATTCAGCATAATAGTAGGTCTAGTATATACATGGTAGTGAGAACGGAAAACGGGGGTGCGCTACTGAGTGGTATCCTGGGATGTTGCCGTATAATTTACTCATTCGGGGAGGCCGATTGGATTTGGCCGCCTGACAACGGCCTCCACTCGAGGTCTCCCGAAAATGCCCATTTGCAGGCGTGAGTCCCAAGCTGTTTCAGGAGTGCTCTGGAATGTAAACTTCAGGAGTGCTCTCGAATGTAAACTTCTGACTGCTCCCGGATGCGTTCTGACATCTCCAAGTCGGGAGTAGGGGTGGTGATGGTGCACTCCTGAAAATGGCATTTTTTATTCTTTTTTTTTTTTTTTTTTTAAGACTATACTCTTCTCTCAATTTTTCCTCACACTACCTACCTACCACTACTACTACTTATAGGCATACGGGGAAACCTGTAGCACCAGAGCCGTGTTTTTACGGCCCCTCGAGCCTGCAGGATACCGGCCAGGGGACGGCCGGTAGCACAAGGGATAAAGCGAACCAATCCCCCGTGCCTCCCCTCAGGCCCCTCCCCTACGAACATAGCAGACTCTGCTTGATGCCGATCGTGGGATCCAGTGGTCTATCTCTTGGGTAGCGGGTGCCAAGTAAGCCCAGGAAGGTCATGAGGCCAATGGGGATTGAACCCATGACCTCCTGAATGCCACTTGTGAGCCTTACCAACCGAGCTAGTCCGCTGGATGCATTTTTTATTCCAAGTCGGGAGTATTGTGGTGAGGCCCAATGTTTGACCAAAGGAAAGGGAATCTGACTTTGTGCTCGAATCGCGAAATTGCGCCCACGTAGACACAAACAGCTTCATGGCTGTGGAGATAAACCCTTTGTGCTGGACTTTGTGGGCCCAGTCCTCTGCAGTTGCTAATTGGATGGTGTATTTATCCTCCCCTCTGATCACCGGGAGAGTCAAGGGCTCGCCGTTCCCGGCAGCTGAGTTTCGGAGTAATTGTAGTACCTGTTGATCTATCCATTCAGCCAGCTGCCAGCACAGAGCTCAAGGATTTGAAAACCACATCACCCCTTCCAAAACGGATGACAGATGATGGACCTCTCTCTCTCTCTCTCTCTCTCTCTCTCTCTCTCTGGTGTGTGTGAATATGGTTCGCAAAGGCAGAAAGAACACGCCTCGGAAAACAAAACAGGCGCCGAATTCGTAATGGCAATTTGGGTCGAGAAGTATCTGTTGGGCGCATTTTTATTAATTTTTTTTCCCATCTGACACCACGATGGACCCCTGTAAAAATGACATACGGCCTGACACAACGGCCGTTGGTATCTTTCTCGAACTCGGCGCCTGGTTTCTTTGGCAGAGCACGTTTTTTTTTGCTTATTTACCTCTCTCTCTCTCTCTCTCTCTCTCTCTCTCTCTCTCTCTCTCTCTCTCTCTCTCTCTCTCTCTCTCTGTATCTATATACATATATTATATATAGATATATATAAAGCTGTCCTGACTCTTTGTCAAACAAGGTAGAAAGCCGGAGAGGTTTCTGCTTCGGCTGAAACCTTTTTTATTTTTTTTTCCCTTTTACCTAATGCAGGTATTTTTCAGTGCACCTGGTCCAAGGCGTCCAAATGCATGTAGAATGTTGCCCTAAGAGACCTGTTTTTTTCTTTTTCATGGGAAGTGCTGTATAGCCCTGCATCTTCTCAGTCTCTACCTCAATGTGAATCTTGGAACCTTTATCTGTTGGTAAGGCACAGATGTGGCATTCAGGTCTTGGGCTCCATTCCCATTGACGTGAAGTCGGTTGCATGCACACAGTCTTCGAGCACGAGGCTCAGGTGAAAGTGCGCTCAAACTGGCTCGCCGTACTCATCTGATACCAGAGAGAGATATAAGGAGAGAGATGAGAAGAAGGAAAGAAAATACAGAGTACGAAGAAGGAAAGAAAATACAGAGTACAACACGAATAGCGCAATGAACCTCGCTCAAAATAATCAGATCATGAAACACAAGGAGCGAGGTCGGCGAAAAAACCCGACATGTTTCGGCCACCTCGCCGAAATGGCCATCCTCAGGGGCAATTGTGCTTGCGGGATGATACCCCGCTATACCTTAAATACTGATCTACTGAAGACGTATACCATCGGTTCACCTCCTTCATCATACCCGCGTCACTCGCGGGAGTGCTCATGACATGTTTCAGAGAGGTGCAAGGCGGGAAGTACCTAGCGGCCTGGTTCCGATAGAGATAGGTAAGTCAGACGGATGACTTCAGACAGCAGGTATGGAGCGGGAGAAGGAGCAGGTACTGAGAGGATAAGTCCGATGACCAGCGACAGAAGGCAGAGAAGGAGTTCGGAGAAGGCGCGGTACGTGGACGAGCACAAGAAAAGCAGCACAGCGAAACAGCAGGGGAAGTGAAACACGTTTGGAAGAAAAGACAAGGGGGGAAAAAGATCACCTGTTGTTCGAAGATCTTGCCGATATTCGTCTCCCTAAGCGGGGGATACGTAGTCAGGGGATCTGCTTTGATCATGCTACAGGACAAAACCGAAATGCCACAAAAAACGGACTGCTCTTGCGGGTGCCACATTAAACATAACTTATACCCAGCGACCTGGTACCTGCAGCCCTTCCCTGAAGAATTGTACCCATCCGTCCCAGCAGTTCCCATGGACCGCGGAGAAGTCTGTCAAGGCTTTTACCTCAGCATACTTGGGGCTGGCCATCTATACCTTTGCCTCTTTCCCCCCCTTCGCTAGTGTTTGTAGGTGGAGGGGACCCGAGGGGAGGCTCAGCATCTGGCCACTTAGATGAAGCTAGGTCCTGATGCTACTGGCTGATCCCTGGCTGGTATTGCATATGCTGATGGGTGCACCTGTTCCTTTGAGATTGCAACGATAATATAAAAGGCCTGAAAGGCCTTCCTGTTCAGATTCAGCTATGGATGCCGATCCTATAATTGCCCTGCGTGACAAAATAATAAACCGGCGAGGGGCCTCATTTTGGCTTGGCGCCACCAGCCATCTCGGTCCGGTAGCGCCAGACCCCAACCGGGAAACAGTAGTGTGTCCCGAGAAACAGGGGTGTTTATCCAGCGGCCTAGCTCAGTTGGTAAGGCACGCAAGTGGCATTCAGGAGGTCTTGGGTTCAATCTCTACTGCCCTCATGTACCTTCCTGGGCATGCTTGGCGCCCACCACCTAGATATAGCCCGTTGGTCCCCCCAATTGGCATTAAAAAGCAGTCTCTGCTGATGGTCATAGGGGGAGGGGCAATGGGGAGGCACAGCGACTGGCCACTCAGATGATGCTTGGTCCCTCTGCTACCGGCTGTCCCCTGGCCGGTGTACCCCACTGGGGGTTCCCTGAAGGCAATAAAGGGCACCCTGGGCTGAAAAGGCCACCCGGTGTCAGATTAGACACAAGATTGAATTTACCTCGGCTGGTTAGTCTGATGATAGTATCTCCGGGCCTGTTTTTGCCTATTCTGAATTTCACTGCGCTCCGAGTTTGCCGAGCCAGGGTCCCACTCCATTTCTTTATGGTACTCTCACGGGAAGAACAAAAAAAAGAAGAAAAGTTGCGGCCGTGAAACTCACAAAACAAGAAAACAAATGGTCGTGATTGCAGTTGTATATATTCTTGGAACTGGTACTGTGAGGGCGTCATTAGACACTCCTCGGGGACGCGAAATCCCCAAGGAATTGTTCCTTCCACCTATCGGGTCTCGTTCGACACTCCTAAAAGTTCCTGTTTTTAGGATTGCGTGTTGGTTGCACGCAATCCTAAATCGGCCGCGGGAATAAAAAATGTGAAAACGGTGCTAGGACTCGTTCTAAAAATTTTAGGATTCCCCAGGCAAATCGTCCTAAATTTTCCAGTAGCCCCGGAGCTACTGAAAAATTTAGGATTCCCGATTATCACGGAGCCGGTGCGTCGCGCACATGGCACCGTCGCCAGAGGGTTGCTGGTCCAGTAGCAGTCCGTCGGGTGGGCGGTCGGACATTGGAGTTTTGAAGCGGGCCGAGGCCGGCAACGGCCAGCGGTGGTAGCCGTTGGCAGCCGGTGACGAGCGGGGCGGTGGGGGTGGGGCTGGGGGGTCTGGAGACCGTCTGCGGGCTGCCGGCCGTAGTGGACCGTTGTCTCGATGTTGCTAGCGACGGTGGAGGACAACGTCGGTCCCTCCACGACGCACGGTGGCCCGGGCTCCGAGTGGTGGCGGCAACGGTCGTTTTTTGAATCGCATGCTGCCACCTTCGTTGTCTTCTCTGGCTGTTGTCGACATATGAAGGTCCACCGGGCGCGACTCCCCCCGCATGTTACAGCAGTGTGGTGCAGTAGCAGTCACGTGCGCAGTTGGGGTTGGTGGTGAATTTGATGGCTGACGTGGGGAGGAGATTGCCTCTGCTGGTGCTCGTCGTCGTCGTCTTCCTACTTGTCGTCTTCCTCCACGTGTGTTTGTTGTGGCGCCCGTGGAAACTACATCGCAAGAGGAGGGCGTCGACGAAACGGTCGGCAGGAGAGCGTACAATGGCGGGCATGCAGGGACGCGTGGGTGCTGGTGCAGGTCAGGGCGGAATACGACCTGCGACGGCGGAGCCTCCACGGCGGTACGACCCATCCATGTACGCCCATTTGCAATCGTGGGAGACGCAGCTGCCCCCGTCGGACAAGGAGCCCGAGACACAAGAACTGCCGACGTTGCCTCTTGCCAGCGGCTCGACGCAGCTTTGGTCACAGACGGTGCGAGCAGGCGGTTCGGGTTGCAACGAAGGTGGCGAGTACACGTCTTTGCTGCAGCACGGCTTGGGAGACGACGACGACGGAGGACTTGATCTCAGGTTCGTCTTGTGTTCTGGCGGGTCCAAGGAGGTGAGCCGTACGTTGATCATCGACACCGATCCCTCGCCACGTGGCGTGGAACAGGGTGGGAGTCAGCATACGGATCAAACCACCCTTCGTGCCCGTGCGTCCGTCGCTGCTAGTGCCGGACCATCTGCAGTGCTCCGGCGTCAAGGCTCCACAGCACGTCCGTCGAACGGTCGAGAAGTAACTGGCCTGCACGCAACGGAGCCGCAGCCGGGTCACCGCGCGTCGAGTGTGCACGTCCTTCGATGCCCGAACGCACAACACTGACCCAATCTGACGTCAGGGACGTGGGTGCATGCGGACCGCCGGTGCGTCCTGTACCCACTGTGGAGAACATCACACGAGGTGTGTCGAACATGCGAGCACACAGTGATGGCGGCGACGACGACGGTGTTGGCAGCGACGATGCTGACGAGCGATTGACGGAGGACGTGGATACAGAGGACGACAAAGAAGACATTCCTGTTCGGCCGTTGGGGAAGACAGGTGGGAGGGGGAGAGCACGCAACAAGGGTGTTGTTCGTGGTCGATCCGTTTGCCGTGGCAGCAGAGGCTGTGTCAGCGACGATTCCGGGAAGTCTGTGACATACTGGTCTCCGGAGGAACAACTGCAACTAGTGAGATGCAAGCGGGAGCAAGAGATGCACCTCGCCGGGCTGGGCCACAACTACAGGCGGATGCGGACGAAGGACTGGAAGTGGGACGACATTGCAAAGCGCATGGCGAGCGCGGGGAAACCGAAAGACGCGGACGACTGCATGAAGAAGTGGGACAATCTGTTCCAAAACTACAAGAAGATACAGAGGTTTCAGAACGCTAGCGGCCGTCCTGATTTCTTCGGCCTTACAAATGAAGAAAGGAAGGAGCACAATTTCAAGTTCCGGATGGAGAGAGCGTTGTACAACGAGATCCATGCTGGCATGCTGGGCAACCATACAATTTTTCCTCCGAACATCGCCGACACAGGAAATCTTGACGGGGTGCAGCTTCCCAGGAGAGGAGGTCGCGGTGGTGAGTCGGTTAGTAGTGAGGCTGGTGGTGAAGCCTTCCCCGAGGAACGTTCTTCTGCGCGGGAGTCCGAGAACAACGCAGGCAGCGGGGATGGAGGCGGCAAGCGGAAGAATGAACGTCAACAGGCGTTGGAGTCAATCGCCGATGTCATGGATCGACATGGCGAGCTGATGTCGTCGACGATCGAATCCTCCAGCAAGCGGCAATGCAGCATTTTCATGAGGCAATGTGACATACTGGACCAGGAAGTAGCAGTCCAGAAAAAGCACTACGCGGTGTCCAATGAAACGCAGAGGATGATGTGCCACGCGCTTATGGAAATCGCTGCGGCCATCCGTGGTC